TTGGTAAAGGAGACAACAAAAAAATACTGGAGAAAATAACCCTTAAAAACAGACTAGGTGAAATGGTAAAGTAGATCACAAAAAGCCAATAAGAAGAATAATGCTTAAAACGTAGAATTGGCCAAATGGAAAAAGAAGCCAAAAAATTCACTGAAGGGGAAAAAAACTAGAATTGACTGAATGGAAAAGGAGATACAGAAATTCATTACAGAAAATAATTCTTTAATAATTAAAAGGGAGCAAATGAAAGCTAATGACTTTATGAGAAATTAAGAAACAATACAACAAACCAAAATGATGAAAACATGAAGACAATGTGAAATATCTCATTGGAAAAACATTGGAAAAACAACTGACCTGGAAAATAAATCCAGGAGAGATCACTTAAAAATTAATGGACTACCTGAAAGCCATGACCAAAAAGTAACCTAGGCATCACCTTTCAAGAAGTTATCAAGGAAGCTGCCCTGATATTCTAGAACTAGAGGGTAAAATAGAAATCAAAAGAATTCACTACTCACCTTCCTGAAAGAGATCCCAAAAGAAAAACTCCTAGGAATATTGTAGCCCAATTCCAGAGTTCCCAGGTCAAGGAGAAAATATTGCAAGCAGCCAGAAAAAAACAATTCAAGTACTGTGGAAACACAATCAGGATAACAAAAGATTTAGCAGATTCTATATAAAGGGACTGGAGGGCTTGGAATAAAATATTCCAGAGGTCAAAGGAACTAGGATTACAACCAAGCAAAACTGAGTGTAATCCTTCAGGAGTAAAAATGGACATTCAGTGAAATGAGGACTTTCAAGCATTCTTGATAAAAAGGCCTGAGCTGAAGAGGAAATCTAACTTTCAAATATAAGATTAAAGAGGAGCGTAAAAAGGTAAACAGGAGAGGAAAATTATGAGAGGCTTAATATAATAAAACTGTTTACATTTCTACATGGGAAGATGATACTCGTAACTCATAAGAACTTTCTCATTATTAAGGCAGCTAGAAAGAGCAAATGTAGACAGAGCACACAAGTATCAGTTGAATATGAAGAGTTAATATCTAAAAAATAAAATTAAGAGATGAGACAGGAATGAACTAGGAGAAAGGGAAAAGGAGAGGTAAGATGGGATAAATTATCTTACATAGAAGAGGCAAGAAAAAGCTTTTACAATGGAGAGGAAGAGGGAAGAGAGAAGAGGGAAGAGGGAAGAGGGAAGAAGTGAGAGGGAGTGAGTGAACCAAAGGGGGAATAACATACATACTTAATTGAATATAGAAATCTATCTTACCTTAGAGGAAAGGAGGGGAATGGGACAAGAGAAGGGAGGGCAGATTGGGAGAGGGATAGTCAGAAGCAAAATACTTTTGAGGAGGGGCAGGGTAAAAGGATAAAAAGAATAGAATAGATGGGGTGAGGATAGGAGGGAGGGAAATACAGTTAGTAATAATAGCTGTGAAAAAATTGTTTTGAAGCAAGTTTCTCTTATAAGTCCTCATTTCATAAACGTCTAGAAAATGGAGTCAAATTTGTAAAATTAGGAGCCTTTCCCGAACTGATAAATGATCAAAAGATATGAACAGTTTTTGGATGTAGTAATCAAAGCTATCTATAACCATATGAAAAATACTCTAACTCACAATTGATTGGAGAAATACAAATTAAAACAATTATGAAGTCCTATTTCATATTTATTAGATTTGCTAATAGGACAGAAAGGAAAATGACAAATATTGGAGGGGATGGGGGAAAATGAGACATTAATGCACTGTTGGTGGAGTTGTGAACTGATTCAATCATTCTGTAGAGCAATTTGGAACTATGCCCAAAGGTCTATAAAACCATGCATACCTTTTTACCTATCAATACACTATTAAGTCTGAATCCCAAATGAGATAAAAACCAAAAATGAAATGGACCCATAAGTACAGCTTTTTTCTGGTGGCAAAGAATTGGAAATTGAAGTGATGCCCATCAGTTGGGGTATGACTGGACAAATTGTGGTATGTGATTGGGATAAAATTCTGTTATGCTATAAGAAATGATGAGTTTAGATATAAAGGATGATAACATAAACAAATTAGAACAAGGAATAGTTTACCTGTCAGATCCATGGAGAAGGGAAGACTTTATGACCAAACAGTAGATAGAGAACATTATGAAATGCAAAATGAATAATTATGGTTGAATTAAATTAAAAAATTTTTGCAAAACAAATAGAATGCAGCCAAGATTAGAAGGGAAGCAGAAAGCTGGGAAACAATTATTACAGCCAGTGTCTCTGATAAAAGCTTCATTTTAAAAATATATGGAGAACTGAGTCAAATTTCTAAGAATGCAAGTCATTTCCCAATTGATAAATGGTGAAAGGATATGAACAGGCAGTTTTCAGATGAAGAAATGAAAGCTATGTATTGTCATATGAAAAATGCTCTAAATCATTATTGACTTGAGAAATGCAAATTAAAACAGCTCTGAGGTACCAACTCACACCTCTCAGATTGTCTAATATGACAAAAAGGGAAAATAATAAATGTTGGAGAAGATGTGGGAGTATTTGAACACTAATTCATTGTTTGTGGGAAAAAACCGCACATGTACAAAAATATTTATAGCAGCTCTTTTTGTGGTGGCCAAGAATTTTAAATTAAGGGCATGCCCATCAATTGGGGAATGGCTGAACACATTATGGTATATGTGTGTAATGGAATACTATTCTTCTATAAGAAATGTTGAGCAGATGGTTTTCAGAAAACCTGGAAAAACCTACATGAACTGATGCTGAGTGAAGAGAGCAGAACCAGGAGAACACTGTACATAGTAATAGCAATATTGTATGATGACCAACTTTGATAGACTTAGCTTTTTTCAGCAATACAATGATCTCAGACAATTCCAAAAGACTCATGATGGAAAATGCTATCCACATCTAGAGAAAAAACTATGGAGTCTGAATGCAGATTGAAGCATACTATTTTTTCTTTTTTTGTCATTTTTTCTTCTTGTGGCTTTCCCCCTTTGTTCTGATTCTTCTTTCACAACATGAATAATGTGGAAGTATGTTTAACATGATTGCACGTGTATAACCTATATGAAATTGCTTGCTTTTTTGGAACGGGGGGGAGAGAGGGAGGAAGAAGCATTTGGAACTCAAAATCTTATAAAAGTGAAGATTGAAAACTAAAATTAAATACATAAGTAATTAATTTTTAAAAATGATGAGTGGGATGCTCTCAGAAAAACCTGGAAAGACTTACATGAGATGATGCAAAGTGAAATGTACTGCGTACAAAGTAACGGGAGTATTGTAAAGTGATGAGCTGTGAATGACTTGGCTATTCTCAGCAATACAATGTTCCAAGACAACTCTGAAGGACTTATGATGAAAAATGCTATCCACCTCCAGAGAAAGAACTGATGGTGTCTGACTACAGATTGAAGCATATGTTTTTACTTTCTTTATTTTTCTGGAAGTGTTTTTTTTTTTTTGTCTACGTTTTCTTTCACAACATGAGTATTATGGAAATTTTGTGCATGACTACACATGTATAACCTATAGAGAATTGTTTGGCTTCTCAATAAGAGGGTGGGATGGGGAGGAAGGATGGGAGAGGATTTGAAACTCAAAGTTTTAAAAATGTGTGTTAAAAATTGTTTCCCCATATTGCTGTGGAAAAAATAAAAAAATACTAAATACAGTAATAGATATTCATTTTAACATAAATATAAGGATATATAAGGTCCATTGGTAGTAGCACTTGTGGTGTTTCCTCCACTGTTTGAAATGCTAGTTCAATCAATAAACATTTCAATCTATAAAAGTTAATTAAGCTCCTACTTTTGGCCAGCAAGTATATCAAGCTCTAGCTTATACATGCTTTTGGGGGCCAAAAGTCCACAGACAGATTGTGGAGCAGTAAAGCAGATTCTTTCCCTGAGAGTTTGAACTGATCAGAGATTTAGACGATTGAGGGGTTTGAGAAACATTCTTTAAAAATTAATCCACTTTCCTCGTGGACAGGAGAGTCCCAGCTTGAAGGCAGTGAGCTGGCCTGGCTATGTAATTTGCTGGAGGACATGTGATCCATCAGAAGGGATTGTTCCATGATAACCTTCAGGCTTGATGTATATCTCTCTCTTCTCCCATTTTTGTGGTGTGCCATTCACTTGTATTATGCTCCCAAACTTCAAATTGGTAGGTGATAACAAAGGAGTGGAAGATAACTAAAAATCACTGGGCTAACCCACGTTCTGACAGTCATCAGGGATCATTTGGATCTGGAAGTGATGAACTATGAGCATGAGGTGACAAATATGAATTTTTTTTAGAAGTTTTAAAAATAAAAACTCTATCAATGTGTGTACAGAATGTGGGAGAAGGCCAAGGTTTATAGGGATAAGTTCTTTAATTTTTAGTAAAATGGGGCCTGGAAGTTATGAAATTCTGTAATTTAAGTACCACAGAATTCAAATTTTAAAAGACCTTTAAATAAGAAAAATAATAAGCTTTTTTCAATAGAAATCTGGAGAGTTATCCTTCATTACAAAAGATGCATTGGAAACTAAATCTTTTGCAATGACAACAAGTGTAAGTCAAGATAGAAAATCTCTTAATGGTGTGCTGTTGAAACCCATATAGAGAGAGCTTAAGGAGGAGATGTGAAAACGTTTTGTTCATCAGTGAAAGAAGTTTATTAGAAAACCTTAACAGACACCTAAGTCATGGTGTATCAGAGCTGAGCAAACTTGCTAGAAATGTCATTGGGGGTATCCTTCCTCATGAAAGGAGAGATTCTGCATCATTTCCAGAAGGAAGGGACCTGTGCTTTTCAGTCCCTGTCACTTCCCTGCCCTGAGTGCTCCAGAGGGATTCCAAGACCATTTTGTGGCATCTTTCCTATGTCACCCATTGTAGAGGCAGATGGAATGTGATGTCCTTATAGTGCCATGGAATTAGCCCAAGCAGGGATGGACAAAGATTCCATGACACTGCAGGAGCAGGTGTTTTTTCAGTAGAAGCCAGAAGAATAATACCTTCCCCGGCTGGATGGGAGGTAGCCATAGCCAGAGCCACCATAGCCCAGGCCTCCATAGCCAAAGCCACCATAGCCCAGGCCTCTATAGCCCAAGCTGCCAAAGCCATAGCCTAGGCCACGGAAGCTGCCACATCCACAGCCATAACCAGAGCCATAGCCATAGCCCAGGCCCCCATAGTAGCTGCCCTTGGTAGCTCATTGTGTCAAGATTCACGGATTTGGAAGGATGTCAGGGTTTAGTTTGTATGAGTGTGTATGGCATCATCTGCAGAGGAGCTTTTATACACTTCCAGCAGGAGGTGTGGCAAATTCATTCCAGAACTGCATCATTCCCATTAATGAACTTGCAAGAGCAAAATCACATTCTTGTCATTATTGCCTTAGAAGAATTTCTCCAGCTCATTAAGGGTGTTTTCTTCTTGATTTGCTATTTCTTTATGAAGACTCCAACAAAGATCTCATGATTGTCACGAGAAATGATTATAATATTGCCAAAGCCGATGTGGCTAATGTGCCTGGTGATTTACCCAATCCTAATGGCAGCCCTCTCCTGGACATTGTGATGTTGTCCTTGATTCATCGCTCCATGGCCTGACCTTCTGATTCTTTAGACATGCTTTTGAATTGAGTTTCTTTTGATCAGTGCTGTTTAGAATGAAGTGCCAGCAAGTTTCAGATTGAAGTAGAGATAATTTTTGGGGACAATGTATGGAATGAGTGAATCAAACAACCATTCCAAATGTAATTAAAACACAAACTATCTCCTCAATGTTTACACCTTGCCAGTCACTGTCCTCAGGGATTGAGATATAAAGAAATGTCAACCGAGTCCCTGTCCTCAGGCACCTCTAAAGTTGGAAATACAGTGATGACATGAAAACCACAAGGCACCTGAAGAAACATAGAGAGTTGATGGGAGAAGATCTCAGAGCTCAAAGGCACAAGCCCCTGGGGAACTGGGATATGACCATATACCACAGATGGGATTAGACCTAAAACACTCTTGGACTAGTGACTGTCAGAGGAGATAGGAAGATAAAGGAGAGGATTCTTGGCAGGGTAGACAGCCAATCTGAGCAAAGTCAAGCAGAAGGGACACGAAAGGCATTGTCTGAGCAAAAGCAGGTAGACTACATTGGCTGGACCATAAAATGTGGGGAGGAGAATTAAGTGTACTGAGACTAGAAAGGTAGGAAGCTAAAGCTGATGAGGCAAATAGCTGATGAAAAGGGTGAAATGCTAGAAAGAGGGTATCTCATTAAGCCAGCACAAAACAGAAAAGTAACTAGAATTCACAAGATTATTGGTGCAGTGATTTGTGGTAGTTAATGGTGGGAGAGGAATCAGAAGAATGTTTTAGGACAATCCCTTGATCAGGTGATCAGAGGATCAATCTTGGTTGAAGAAGATTGAGGCAGGGGAAACCAATCAAAAGACCTCATAGAGGGCAGTGAAGGCTGAAGAATGTATGCGTAAATGAAGTGCTTGGATTCTGTAGAATTTTGGAAAGCAGAAAGAAGTTTTGCCAACTTGTTGGATAGTGTGATAATACTGAGGGTTGAGGACATTGCCTAGTCTGTAGCCTGATTTCCTGGTTGATGACAGTTCTCTTGAAAGCTGTAGAGAAGTTTGAATACAGAAGTTCCTTTGGAAGAGGCAGAATAAGAAATGTGTTGTACAGTTGGAGGTTTTGAGATGTGAAAGGAACATGAAGTTGAAATTGTCCAAACTGACAGTTCATGATGTGGAACTGAAATTCAGGAGAGATATTTGCCTGTTTTAGAAATGAGGCAATGAGTGGCAGAGACAAAGAGAGAGATGTGCCCTGATGCCCTGAGAACTTAGGAAGGTCTACTCTCTCCCCATGAGAGCTTACTGGAGAGGAAAGAAAAGAAACAGGACCTTAGGATTATCCTATAGCATAAGATGACAAGATAATTGGCTACCTTAGGCCACTGTAATGAACAATGTGGCTAGAATAACAGTATCAAACATATGCAGGAACACCATTGGCCATCATTTTCAAGAGCCAAAGGGAGATCAAAGAAGGAAGACTCAAGAGAAGCCATTAATTTGGCCATGAGAAATAATTGAGAACTTTAGAGAGAGCAGTTTCTTTTGAATGTTAGGGTCAGGAAGATGTCTAGGACTTTCAAAGGCAGTGAAAGGAGAACAGGCAGATCCCTGAGATGCTTCTATTGATGCAGTACAGCCATGGACTTTCTAAATGTGAAGTACTGGGAAGTGCTGACAATATGAGTTTGGTAAGATCGTGAATTCTGGGGATATTCTGACAGCCAGCTAGACCAGCAAGCTCAGTGAAATGCTGGTTTGAAACATGAGATGGGCAGTGAGTGTCAGAGAGAAAATAATGGAGCTCAGGGCAGTGATAATTTACCAAGTGAGAGAGTGTAGTGGAGAGAAGGCAGATTGTAACTCTCTGGTGTGAGTATCTCAAAAAGACATTAGTGTAACAGAAGAAAAATGAGGTCAAAGTAGTAGAGTAGCATCTCTCCTCCCAGGTTCTAAATCTCCCCAACTGCTCTCTGAAAGAAGGAAGCCCAATAAGATGTCATATGTCAGCCAGATATCTGACTGACATTGAGATTTCACGAAGAGGACCATAACAGACTAGAATTCAGGAAAATGGATGTGATTGCCATCTGTAATCTACACTGCTCAGTGCATGGCTGGTCTTTTCCAAGCTGTAGAACATTTAGACAAGACCAAACCAGTTGGAAAAAAAAAAAAACTTTCCAACTCAGAGCTTATGAGACTCACTTGAAGAACTGGGATTCTTGGGCTTAGAGGACACTAATATTGTGCCTTCTTGCTTAATTTTTTTAATGGCCACCATGATGTACAGTTAGTAGATATTTTTCATTGTTACCATTTGGGAGAACTTGTATCCAGAGTGGACTTTATCCTCTTAAACTGATTTTCTACTTTGTTACAGAGAACGAAGTGCTCTTTTCCACAAGAAGCGTTGGTAGAGAAGTCATCTTTTCATTAAAGATTAGTTTCTATTGAAGTGACCTTGAGCGTATGTCTCCCTGAAAAGACTGATGAATGATGAGATATATTGAGGAATGGCATAGAGTGAATCTTCTGAGCCATTTCCAATGAAAAGCCATTGATCCATAGGAATATTATGCTTTTTTACGATAGGAGAATAAGGGCTATGATTGATACATACAGTAATACAGGGAGGTGGAGCCAAGGTGGCAGAGTAAAGACAGAGATTTGCCTGAGCTTTCACCCAAACTCCTCCAAATATCTTTAAACAATTACTCTAAAGAAATTCTAGAGGACACAACCCACAAAAAGAAGAATGCAACAATTTTCCAGCTGAAGACCACTTAGAAGGTCAGGAGGAAAGGTTTGTTGCATGAAGGTGAGAGAGGAGCACAGTCCAGTGCAGGCCCACCAACACAGACAAACAAGGAGCAGGCCTGGGTGCCATTGAATCAGCAGTGCAGCAGCAGCTTCTGGAATTCTCAGTTCACAGACAGTAAGAGGTAGAATGACTGGTGAGAAGGAGATTAGAGGGCTCTCTTTCACAGCACTGCAGGCAGGACTCTGTTGCTTGCCCATACTCAGATCTGGCTCCCACTCTAGGTTGGCAGTTCCAGGGCAAGGAGGAGCACCTACCAGAGCTTGTAGCCGTAGTGTAGGGGACCCTCTTCAGAATTTCAAGGCAGAAAAGATTGCTTGTGCTCACTCACAGACTAGAGCACAGGCCAAGAGAGTAGTAAGCACGTCTCCTTAGATAATACCGCTTTGGAAAAACTAAAATCTTAGAGGTCCCTGAAAGTATCTCTGAAAAGAGCTGCACAAAAAACCTGAAACTTGGGACACTCCACCACAAAAGTGGGGACCTACTTTAACAATGAGTTAAAAGTTAAGTAATAGGCTGTGAAAATGAGCAAACAACAGAAAAAATTCTGACCATAGAAAGTTCCTATGGTGACAAGGAAGATCAAAGCACACACTCAGAAGAAGAATACAAAGTCAAAGCTCCTATATCCAAAGCACCCCCCCAAATAAAAATTGTTCTCAGGCCACAGAAGAGCTCAAAAAAGATTTCAAAAATAAATTAGAGAGGTAGAGGGAAAATTTGGAAGAGATATGAGAGTGATGCAAGAAAATCATGAAAAATTAGTGAATAGGTTGGTAAAGGAGACAACAAAAAAATACTGGAGAAAATAACCCTTAAAAACAGACTAGGTGAAATGGTAAAGTAGACACAAAAAGCCAATAAGAAGAATAATGCCTTAAAACGTAGAATTGGCCAAATGGAAAAAGAAGCCCAAAAAATTCACTGAAGGGGAAAAAAACTAGAATTGACTGAATGGAAAAGGAGATACAGAAATTCATTACAGAAAATAATTCTTTAATAATTAAAAGGGAGCAAATGAAAGCTAATGACTTTATGAGAAATTAAAACAATACAACAAAACCAAATGATGAAAACATGAAGACAATGTGAAATATCTCATTGGAAAAACAACTGACCTGGAAAATAAATCCAGGAGAGATCACTTAAAAATTAATGGACTACCTGAAAGCCATGACCAAAAAGTAACCTAGGCATCACCTTTCAAGAAGTTATCAAGGAAGCTGCCCTGATATTCTAGAACTAGAGGGTAAAATAGAAATCAAAAGAATTCACTACTCACTTCCTGAAAGAGATCCCAAAAGAAAAACTCCTAGGAATATTGTAGCCCAATTCCAGAGTTCCCAGGTCAAGGAGAAAATATTGCAAGCAGCCAGAAAAAAACAATTCAAGTACTGTGGAAACACAATCAGGATAACAAAAGATTTAGCAGATTCTATATAAAGGGACTGGAGGGCTTGGAATAAAATATTCCAGAGGTCAAAGGAACTAGGATTACAACCAAGCAAAACTGAGTGTAATCCTTCAGGAGTAAAAATGGACATTCAGTGAAATGAGGACTTTCAAGCATTCTTGATAAAAAGGCCTGAGCTGAAGAGGAAATCTAACTTTCAAATATAAGATTAAAGAGGAGCGTAAAAAGGTAAACAGGAGAGGAAAATTATGAGAGGCTTAATATAATAAAACTGTTTACATTTCTACATGGGAAGATGATACTCGTAACTCATAAGAACTTTCTCATTATTAAGGCAGCTAGAAAGAGCAAATGTAGACAGAGCACACAAGTATCAGTTGAATATGAAGAGTTAATATCTAAAAAATAAAATTAAGAGATGAGACAGGAATGAACTAGGAGAAAGGGAAAAGGAGAGGTAAGATGGGATAAATTATCTTACATAGAAGAGGCAAGAAAAAGCTTTTACAATGGAGAGGAAGAGGGAAGAGAGAAGAGGGAAGAGGGAAGAGGGAAGAAGTGAGAGGGAGTGAGTGAACCAAAGGGGAATAACATACATACTTAATTGAATATAGAAATCTATCTTACCTTAGAGGAAAGGAGGGGAATGGGACAAGAGAAGGGAGGGCAGATTGGGAGAGGGATAGTCAGAAGCAAAATACTTTTGAGGAGGGGCAGGGTAAAAGGATAAAAAGAATAGAATAGATGGGGTGAGGATAGGAGGGAGGGAAATACAGTTAGTAATAATAGCTGTGAAAAAATTGTTTTGAAGCAAGTTTCTCTTATAAAGTCCTCATTTCATAAACGTCTAGAAAATGGAGTCAAATTTGTAAAATTAGGAGCCTTTCCCGAACTGATAAATGATCAAAAGATATGAACAGTTTTTGGATGTAGTAATCAAAGCTATCTATAACCATATGAAAAATACTCTAACTCACAATTGATTGGAGAAATACAAATTAAAACAATTATGAAGTCCTATTTCATATTTATTAGATTTGCTAATAGGACAGAAAGGAAAATGACAAATATTGGAGGGGATGGGGGAAAATGAGACATTAATGCACTGTTGGTGGAGTTGTGAACTGATTCAATCATTCTGTAGAGCAATTTGGAACTATGCCCAAAGGTCTATAAAACCATGCATACCTTTTTACCTATCAATACCACTATTAAGTCTGAATCCCAAATGAGATAAAAACCAAAAATGAAATGGACCCATAAGTACAGCTTTTTTCTGGTGGCAAAGAATTGGAAATTGAAGTGATGCCCATCAGTTGGGGTATGACTGGACAAATTGTGGTATGTGATTGGGATAAAATTCTGTTATGCTATAAGAAATGATGAGTTTAGATATAAAGGATGATAACATAAACAAATTAGAACAAGGAATAGTTTACCTGTCAGATCCATGGAGAAGGGAAGACTTTATGACCAAACAGTAGATAGAGAACATTATGAAATGCAAAATGAATAATTATGGTTGAATTAAATTAAAAAATTTTTGCAAAACAAATAGAATGCAGCCAAGATTAGAAGGGAAGCAGAAAGCTGGGAAACAATTATTACAGCCAGTGTCTCTGATAAAAGCTTCATTTTAAAAATATATGGAGAACTGAGTCAAATTTCTAAGAATGCAAGTCATTTCCCAATTGATAAATGGTGAAAGGATATGAACAGGCAGTTTTCAGATGAAGAAATGAAAGCTATGTATTGTCATATGAAAAATGCTCTAAATCATTATTGACTTGAGAAATGCAAATTAAAACAGCTCTGAGGTACCAACTCACACCTCTCAGATTGTCTAATATGACAAAAAGGGAAAATAATAAATGTTGGAGAAGATGTGGGAGTATTTGAACACTAATTCATTGTTTGTGGGAAAAAACCCCACATGTACAAAAATATTTATAGCAGCTCTTTTTGTGGTGGCCAAGAATTTTAAATTAAGGGCATGCCCATCAATTGGGGAATGGCTGAACACATTATGGTATATGTGTGTAATGGAATACTATTCTTCTATAAGAAATGTTGAGCAGATGGTTTTCAGAAAACCTGGAAAAACCTACATGAACTGATGCTGAGTGAAGAGAGCAGAACCAGGAGAACACTGTACATAGTAATAGCAATATTGTATGATGACCAACTTTGATAGACTTAGCTTTTTTCAGCAATACAATGATCTCAGACAATTCCAAAAGACTCATGATGGAAAATGCTATCCACATCTAGAGAAAAAACTATGGAGTCTGAATGCAGATTGAAGCATACTATTTTTTCTTTTTTTGTCATTTTTTCTTCTTGTGGCTTTCCCCTTTGTTCTGATTCTTCTTTCACAACATGAATAATGTGGAAGTATGTTTAACATGATTGCACGTGTATAACCTATATGAAATTGCTTGCTTTTTTGGGAACGGGGGGGAGAGAGGGAGGAAGAAGCATTTGGAACTCAAAATCTTATAAAAGTGAAGATTGAAAACTAAAATTAAATACATAAGTAATTAATTTTTAAAAATGATGAGTGGGATGCTCTCAGAAAAACCTGGAAAGACTTACATGAGATGATGCAAAGTGAAATGTACTGCGTACAAAGTAACGGGAGTATTGTAAAGTGATGAGCTGTGAATGACTTGGCTATTCTCAGCAATACAATGTTCCAAGACAACTCTGAAGGACTTATGATGAAAAATGCTATCCACCTCCAGAGAAAGAACTGATGGTGTCTGACTACAGATTGAAGCATATGTTTTTACTTTCTTTATTTTTCTGGAAGTGTTTTTTTTTTTTGTCTACGTTTTCTTTCACAACATGAGTATTATGGAAATTTTGTGCATGACTACACATGTATAACCTATAGAGAATTGTTTGGCTTCTCAATAAGAGGGTGGGATGGGGAGGAAGGATGGGAGAGGATTTGAAACTCAAAGTTTTAAAAATGTGTGTTAAAAATTGTTTCCCCATATTGCTGTGGAAAAATAAAAAAATACTAAATACAGTAATAGATATTCATTTTAACATAAATATAAGGATATATAAGGTCCATTGGTAGTAGCACTTGTGGTGTTTCCTCCACTGTTTGAAATGCTAGTTCAATCAATAAACATTTCAATCTATAAAAGTTAATTAAGCTCCTACTTTTGGCCAGCAAGTATATCAAGCTCTAGCTTATACATGCTTTTGGGGGCCAAAAGTCCACAGACAGATTGTGGAGCAGTAAAGCAGATTCTTTCCCTGAGAGTTTGAACTGATCAGAGATTTAGACGATTGAGGGGTTTGAGAAACATTCTTTAAAAATTAATCCACTTTCCTCGTGGACAGGAGAGTCCCAGCTTGAAGGCAGTGAGCTGGCCTGGCTATGTAATTTGCTGGAGGACATGTGATCCATCAGAAGGGATTGTTCCATGATAACCTTCAGGCTTGATGTATATCTCTCTCTTCTCCCATTTTTGTGGTGTGCCATTCACTTGTATTATGCTCCCAAACTTCAAATTGGTAGGTGATAACAAAGGAGTGGAAGATAACTAAAAATCACTGGGCTAACCCACGTTCTGACAGTCATCAGGGATCATTTGGATCTGGAAGTGATGAACTATGAGCATGAGGTGACAAATATGAATTTTTTTTAGAAGTTTTAAAAATAAAAACTCTATCAATGTGTGTACAGAATGTGGGAGAAGGCCCAAGGTTTATAGGGATAAGTTCTTTAATTTTTAGTAAAATGGGGCCTGGAAGTTATGAAATTCTGTAATTTAAGTACCACAGAATTCAAATTTTAAAAGACCTTTAAATAAGAAAATAATAAGCTTTTTTCAATAGAAATCTGGAGAGTTATCCCTTCATTACAAAAGATGCATTGGAAACTAAATCTTTTGCAATGACACACAAGTGTAAGTCAAGATAGAAAATCTCTTAATGGTGTGCTGTTGAAACCCATATAGAGAGCTTAAGGAGGAGATGTGAAAACGGTTTTGTTCATCAGTGAAAGAAGTTTATTAGAAAACCTTAACAGACACCTAAGTCATGGTGTATCAGAGCTGAGCAAACTTGCTAGAAATGTCATTGGGGGTATCTTCCTCATGAAAGGAGAGATTCTGCATCATTTCCCAGAAGGAAGGGACCTGTTGCTTTTCAGTCCCTGTCACTTCCCTGCCCTGAGTGCTCCAGAGGGATTCCAAGACCATTTTGTGGCATCTTTCCTATGTCACCCATTGTAGAGGCAGATGGAATGTGATGTCCTTATAGTGCCATGGAATTAGCCCAAGCAGGGATGGACAAAGATTCCATGACACTGCAGGAGCAGGTGTTTTTTCAGTAGAAGCCAGAAGAATAATACCTTCCCCGGCTGGATGGGAGGTAGCCATAGCCAGAGCCACCATAGCCCAGGCCTCCATAGCCAAAGCCACCATAGCCCAGGCCTCTATAGCCCAAGCTGCCAAAGCCATAGCCTAGGCCACGGAAGCTGCCACATCCACAGCCATAACCAGAGCCATAGCCATAGCCCAGGCCCCCATAGTAGCTGCTTTGGTAGCTCATTGTGTCAAGATTTACAGATTTGGATGGATGTTAGGGTTTAGTTTGTATGAGTGCGTATGGCATCATCTGCAGAGGAGCTTTTATACACTTCCAGCAGGAGGTGTGGCAAATTCATTCCAGAATTGCATCATTCCCATTAATGAACTTGCAAGAGCAAAATCACATTCTTGTCATTATTGCCTTAGAAGAATTTCTCCAGCTCATTAAGGGTGTTTTCTTCTTGATTTGCTATTTCTTTATGAAGACTCCAACAAAGATCTCATGATTGTCACGAGAAATGATTATAATATTGCCAAAGCCGATGTGGCTAATGTGCCTGGTGATTTACCCAATCCTAATGGCAGCCCTCTCCTGGACATTGTGATGTTGTCCTTGATTCATCGCTCCATGGCCTGACCTTCTGATTCTTTAGACATGCTTTTGAATTGAGTTTCTTTTGATCAGTGCTGTTTAGAATGAAGTGCCAGCAAGTTTCAGATTGAAGTAGAGATAATTTTTGGGGACAATGTATGGAATGAGTGAATCAAACAACCATTCCAAATGTAATTAAAACACAAACTATCTCCTCAATGTTTACACCTTGCCAGTCACTGTCCTCAGGGATTGAGATATAAAGAAATGTCAACCGAGTCCCTGTCCTCAGGCACCTCTGAAGTTGGAAATACAGTGATGACATGAAAACCACAAGGCACCTGAAGAAACATAGAGAGTTGATGGGAGAAGATCTCAGAGCTCAAAGGCACAAGCCCCTGGGGAACTGGGATATGACCATATACCATAGATGGGATTAGACCTAAAACACTCTTGGACTAGTGACTGTCAGAGGAGATAGGAAGATAAAGGAGAGGATTCTTGGCAGGGTAGACAGCCAATCTGAGCAAAGTCAAGCAGAAGGGACACGAAAGGCATTGTCTGAGCAAAAGCAGGTAGACTACATTGGCTGGACCATAAAATGTGGGGAGGAGAATTAAGTGTACTGAGACTAGAAAGGTAGGAAGCTAAAGCTGATGAGGCAAATAGCTGATGAAAAGGGTGAAATGCTAGAAAGAGGGTATCTCATTAAGCCAGCACAAAACAGAAAGTAACTAGAATTCACAAGATTATTGGTGCAGTGATTTGTGGTAGTTAATGGTGGGAGAGGAATCAGAAGAATGTTTTAGGACAATCCCTTGATCAGGTGATCAGAGGATCAATCTTGGTTGGAAGAAGATTGAGGCAGGGAAACCAATCAAAAGACCTCATAGAGGGCAGTGAAGGCTGAAGAATGTATGCGTAGAATGAAGTGCTTGGATTCTGTAGAATTTTGGAAAGCAGAAAGAAGTTTTGCCAACTTGTTGGATAGGTGTGATAATACTGAGGGGTTGAGGACATTGCCTAGTCTGTGAGCCTGATTTCCTGGTTTGATGACAGTTCTCTTGAAAGCTGTAGAGAAGTTTTGAATACAGAAGTTCCTTTGGAAGAGGCAGAATAAGAAGATGTGTTGTACAGTTGGAGGTTTTGAGATGTGAAAGGAACATGAAGTTGAAATTGTCCAAACTGACAGTTCATGATGTGGAACTGAAATTCAGGAGAGATATTTGCCTGTTTTAGAAATGAGGCAATGAGTGGCAGAGACAAAGAGAGAGATGTGCCCTGATGCCCTGAGAACTTAGGAAGGTCTACTCTCTCCCCATGAGAGCTTACTGGAGAGGAAAGAAAAGAAACAGGACCTTAGGATTTATCCTATAGGCATAAGATGACAAGATAATTGGCTACCTTAGGCCACTGGTAATGAACAATGTGGCTAGAATAACAGTATCAAACATATGCAGGAACACCAGTTGGCCATCATTTTCAAGAGCCAAAGGGAGATCAAGAAGAAGGAAGACTCAAGAGAAGCCATTAATTTTGGCCATGAGAAAATAATTGAGAACTTTAGAGAGAGCAGTTTCTTTTGAATGTTAGGGTCAGGAAGATGTCTAGGACTTTCAAAGGCAGTGAAAGGAGAACAGGCAGGATTCCCTGAGATGCTTCTATTGATTGCAGTACAGCCATGGACTTTCTAAATGTGGAAGTACTGGGAAGTGCTGACAATATGAGTTTGGGTAAGATCGTGAATTCTGGGGATATTCTGACAGCCAGCTAGACCAGCAAGCTCAGGTGAAATGCTGGTTTGAAACATGAGATGGGGCAGTGAGTGTCAGAGAGAAAATAATGGAGCTCAGGGCAGGTGATAATGTTACCAAGTGAGAGAGTGTAGTGGAGAGAAGGCAGATTGTAACTCTCTGGTTGTGGAGTATCTCAAAAAGACATTAGGTGAACAGAAGAAAAATGAGGTCAAAGTAGTAGAGTAGCATCTCTCCTCCCAGGTTCTAAATCTCCCCCAACTGCTCTCTGAAAGATAAGGAAGCCCAATAAGATGTCATATGTCAGCCAGATATCTGACTGTGACATTGAGATTTCACGAAGAGGACCATAACAGACTAGAATTCAGGAAAATGGATGTGATTGCCCATCTGTAATCTACACTGCTCAGTGCATGGCTGGTCTTTTCCCAAGCTGTAGAACATTTAGACAAGACCAAACCAGTTGGAAAAAAAAAAAAACTTTCCAACTCAGAGCTTATGAGACTCACTTGAAGGAACTGGGATTCTTGGGCTTAGAGGACACTAAGTATTGTGCCTTCTTGCTTAATTTTTTTTTAATGGCCACCATGATGTACAGTTAGTAGATATTTTTCATTTGTTACCATTTGGGAGAACTTGTATCCAGAGGTGGACTTTTATCCTCTTAAACTGATTTTCTACTTTGTTACAGAGAACGAAGTGCTCTTTTTCCACAAGAAGCTGTTGGGTAGAGAAGTCATCTTTTTCATTAAAGATTAGTTTCTATTGAAGTGACCTTGAGCGTATGTCTCCCTGAAAAGGACTGATGAATGATTGAGATATATTTGGAGAGGAATGGCATGCATAGAGTGAATCTTCTGAGGCCATTTCCAATGAAAAGCCATTGGATCCATAGGAATATTTATGCTTTTTTACGATAGGAGAATAAGGGCTATGATTGATACATACAGTAATACAGGGAGGTGGAGCCAAGGTGGCAGAGTAAAGACAGAGATTTGCCTGAGCTTTCACCCAAACTCCTCCAAATATCTTTAAACAATTACTCTAAAGAAATTCTAGAGGGACACAACCCACAAAAAGAAGGAATGCAACAATTTTCCAGCTGAAGACCACTTAGAAGGTCAGGAGGAAAGGTTTGTTGCATGAAGGTGAGAGAGGAGCACAGTCCAGTGCAGGCCACACCAACACAGACAAACAAGGAGCAGGCCCTGGGTGCCATTGAATCAGCAGTGGCAGCAGCAGCTTCTGGAATTCTCAGTTCACAGACAGTAAGAGGGTAGAATGACTGGTGAGAAGGAGATTAGAGGGCTCTCTTTCACAGCACTGCAGGCAGGACTCTGTTGCTTTGCCCATACTCAGATCTGGCTCCCACTCTAGGTTGGCAGTTCCAGGGCAAGGAGGAGCACCTACCAGAGCTTGTAGCCGTAGTGTAGTGGGGACCCTCTTCAGAATTTCAAGGCAGAAAAGATTGCTTGTGCTCACTCACAGACTAGAGCACAGGCCAAGAGAGTAGTAAGCACGTCTCCTTAGATAATACCGCTTTGGAAAAACTAAAATCTTAGAGGTCCCTGAAAGTATCTCTGAAAAGAGCTGCACAAAAAACCTGAAACTTGGGACACTCCACCACAAAAGTGGGGACCTACTTTAACAATGAGTTAAAAGTTAAGTAATAGGCTGTGAAAATGAGCAAACAACAGAAAAAATTCTGACCATAGAAAGTTCCTATGGTGACAAGGAAGATCAAAGCACACACTCAGAAGAAGAATACAAAGTCAAAGCTCCTATATCCAAAGCACCCCCCCAAATAAAAATTGTTCTCAGGCCACAGAAGAGCTCAAAAAAGATTTCAAAAATAAATTAGAGAGGTAGAGGGAAAATTTGGAAGAGATATGAGAGTGATGCAAGAAAATCATGAAAAATTAGTGAATAGGTTGGTAAAGGAGACAACAAAAAAATACTGGAGAAAATAACCCCTTAAAAACAGACTAGGTGAAATGGTAAAGTAGACACAAAAAGCCAATAAGAAGAATAATGCCTTAAAACGTAGAATTGGCCAAATGGAAAAAGAAGCCCAAAAAATTCACTGAAGGGGAAAAAAACTAGAATTGACTGAATGGAAAAGGAGATACAGAAATTCATTACAGAAAATAATTCTTTAATAATTAAAAGGGAGCAAATGAAAGCTAATGACTTTATGAGAAATTAAGAAACAATACAACAAAACCAAATGATGAAAACATGAAGACAATGTGAAATATCTCATTGGAAAAACAACTGACCTGGAAAATAAATCCAGGAGAGATCACTTAAAAATTAATGGACTACCTGAAAGCCATGACCAAAAAGTAACCTAGGCATCACCTTTCAAGAAGTTATCAAGGAAGCTGCCCTGATATTCTAGAACTAGAGGGTAAAATAGAAATCAAAAGAATTCACTACTCACTTCCTGAAAGAGATCCCAAAAGAAAAACTCCTAGGAATATTGTAGCCCAATTCCAGAGTTCCCAGGTCAAGGAGAAAATATTGCAAGCAGCCAGAAAAAAACAATTCAAGTACTGTGGAAACACAATCAGGATAACAAAAGATTTAGCAGATTCTATATAAAGGGACTGGAGGGCTTGGAATAAAATATTCCAGAGGTCAAAGGAACTAGGATTACAACCAAGCAAAACTGAGTGTAATCCTTCAGGAGTAAAAATGGACATTCAGTGAAATGAGGACTTTCAAGCATTCTTGATAAAAAGGCCTGAGCTGAAGAGGAAATCTAACTTTCAAATATAAGATTAAAGAGGAGCGTAAAAAGGTAAACAGGAGAGGAAAATTATGAGAGGCTTAATATAATAAAACTGTTTACATTTCTACATGGGAAGATGATACTCGTAACTCATAAGAACT